GTTGAGCGAATGCAATACCATTCAAACGAACACATGCGGAAGGATACAGTGGGATGAATTTTAATTTCCTTTACCGATAAATCCAAGTTATAACTATCAATTTAAACCAAGAGATGTAGTGCCTTAAGTATCAGTTATCGTTGCAAGTAATTATAATATACAGTAATTTTATGGTTTATATGTGTAAATTTGGGATTATATTTCTTGTCGCTCAGACAGGTGCTCTGAGGCATGTTGGGATAGAATGAGTCAATATGGCGACTAGGATAAGTACTTAACGGAAACAAGTTACTTCCATTCAAAGTTTCATACTGATCTGTGGATTCTACGTGAGAAAAATGGAGCTCATACAGATATATATTGCTGTTTTAGTTATTTTTTATCCAGGTTAGTACTTGATTCGTTTCAGGTAACGTGTGATCGCGTGTGTATTTTGAAGTAAAGTGATAACATGATGATATTCGCAGTCATATTGGTGTAGGGGTCGTGGACCCAACCCCTTTCTCGTCAACATGGTAATAGAATGGTATATCCAGACGCTTAAATATATATATATATATATATTTCAGTTTTTGTTGGAAACTGTTCAGAAACCCAATTTTAAATCAGAGTGGGAGATCTCGGAGTTTACTACGTTTTGATCTGATGTTTTACAAGTGTCGGTCAGACTTTGATGATTGATTGAGATTTAATAGATTGGCCCACTGTTTGAAAATTAACCGTTTTTGATTAAAGCGTGGCTGTTTCTTATATTTGGAAGAAACAGCGTCATGTATACCAATGTGGCAATGGTGAACGAGTACATGTATCAAGAAGGTCCAAAAACTGATCACTGCCCATTGCCTCCTCTCTCCCCCAGTTTAAATGAATTTTGAATATATGGTTCCATCTGAGAACCCATGGAAATTTTTAAAAATTTTTTTGGGAAAGTGAGTTAAGACATACTTTTTGTGTTTTTACGAATTTATAAGGTGGTGACATTATGAGATTTGCCTGTGTTAAAGTCATGTTTGCATGAGGCAAAGGTGGACACTGCAGTAGTACTAACACTTGCCAATTTAGCCAAATGCTAAAACTGACTTAAATTGGCTGAACAGAAAGGGTTTGATTTGACTTGTTTTAGTGAAATGAAAACCTTTTGGATAACAAATTGACAGTAGTGATTTGGCTAAGCAAAAAAATTGCTTGCACTACCTCAGGGACACTTATTACAAGGAGTCCAATGACCTTAAGCAAGTAAGAATCCCAGCATTGGCCAGTGACTCATTAAGGTGTTAGAAAATATTGTAAAGGCATTAACCTGAGTGTATTTGGTAATACTAACTCTCAGTTGAATTTGAAGACAGAAAGCTTTAAAATCAATAGACAGAATTTTAATATCTATCCTGTGGTAAAAAAAAAAAGATGTGGTCTCTGCATTCCACTTCCAGCTTTTGGATCATGGTTAACTCACCCTTCTTCTTTTACATTTGTGTCACATGAAGCACTGTTAAATACAGTTGGAATGTATTTTGAAATGTGTTTTATACTTTTGCAGTTAATGCATTTGACATGACAAAATCTGGACAGACTTATATCAGAGCAGGATCACAAACCACATTGACATGTCGGTGGACATCACCAACTGGAGACGACCTTCTTAGAATAAACTGGAGACAAGGCTCTACAGTGATAGCAACATCAGTGGTCACATCTAGCTTTACACCACAGTATCCTGACACAAGTGTAAAGGACCGTGTAACACTGGACACTCTAACCTCTACAAGTACCAATACATCAATAACATTAACAGGATTACAGTGTCCAGGTGATATAGCAGAGTATTCCTGTGAGGTGTTCACTACTGCACTACAAGACAGTTTTGGATCTGCAAGTTTTAATTTGAATCTGTTCAGTAAGTGTCAAAAAGAACATGTTTTCTTTTATTATCCTTTAAATGGTACATACGAACCGAGCATATCCAGTAACTCATGTAAACCACTTCTACTAGTTTCTTATACGACTCAAATAAATTCGACATGCCAAGGGATAAACTGAAAAGACACTCGATCAGCCATAAAAGAGCTTTAGATTTTTGGTCGGAAATTTAACCTACTTTCGTGACCTACTTTTCTGCCCCATTGGCATACAGCATAGAATGCTAGCAGAAAAATCCGTTCGAACATAACTTTCGGGTAAAATTAAACAATGCCTTTTGGTAATTATCTAAGTTATACTATTTGAAACTCTATGCTGGTATTTGGTTGGTTTTTGTCACAAAAAAATTGACTTTGTATGCATCTTGGTAAAAGTTAATTCAAAATGTCAGTGATAACTTTTATAATTTCATTGAAGTGGCCTGAATGTTTTTTTTGGGGGGGGGGGGGGGGGGGGGGAAAGAAAGATCATTTTCTGTGAGAGTACTGAATTGTATGATTGGCATTTCTTTCTGTAAAATATAAATGATTGAAAGTTTTTAATATAGTTTCTATATAATTTCCAAGTGAACTAAAGTGCTGTTCATTACAGTAATATGATATTTCTTCTCTAGGTCTCGTTGAAAATAATGTCACAATCACATCATCGTCAAGTCAACTACAAGCAGATCAGAATGCCTCCCTGACTTGTACAGCCAGTAATATTGGGCGACCACCAGGCATCATGAAGTGGTACAAAGGCTCTCAAGAAATCACCACTGGATTTACTCAGCAGACAAGTATCAATAGTGATGGTTGTACCTATAATGGAGTTAGTAGTCTCAGTATTACACCGACATACCAGGATAATGGGGTTATGTATACATGTGTTGTTGAGCCAAACTCTACAGTGATTGGAGACTCTTCAAAGCAAGGAACGTATACACTGGATGTACAATGTAAGTTTTCCATCATGTCTTAAAATTTGTGTTTAAACTGCTATTTTGAGAAACATATGCACAAATTTGATTGTTATTCCATCTGCGTTGTCCACAAAGGACTTGCATTACACTGTGTTTGTCAACTTTCTTATGATTTGTAATTATTTGTAACATCTTCACTGTCTCCTTGTATTTTCATTTTGTGAAACTGTGTCTTATATTATATGAACATGCAATTCTTTTTTGTCCACATTTTTGAATTTTATTTATCAATATATTGCATATTTCAGACCCAGTGCGACAGGGGCCAAGGGTGACATCATCCACTGGTACATTTACAGTTGAGCAGGGAACAACATTTACTCTCAACTGTCAGGCAAGTGGTAATCCAATTCCAAGCTATGTGTGGACCAGTCCAGATAATACCAACTCTACTGGCTCTCAGCTTATACTGACACTGACTAATACTGGAACCTTTTTGTATACTTGCTTTGCCACCAACAGTTTGACGACAACACCGTTTTCAACAGGTGTCACAGTGACAGTACAAGGTAGGTGCTATATCAACATTAAATTGTGGAAAAGTAGGTCACCCTTTATGAAATATCTCCAGGGTTTTTGTTATGGGTATTTGTATTGAAGAAGGAGCTCATTTATAAACAGAGTTCCAAGGGTCCCCTCTCTGCTATCTCCATCTTTTGCAGTGAGAGATAAAACACAAAGCAGAGCAAAGATAAGCATTGTGATCAGACATCCAGGCAAGGTCTACCCAGCCACCAAAGTGTATTCATTCCTTTATCCCATCATTTCTTACAGACCTAAACAACCGTGAAATGTTCCACAACTTGGTATTCTGGGTATGAATAGGGAGTTTACAACGAGTTCAAGTTTAGGGTCTATGGTGGTGTATTGTCCCCTGGTCTAACCCCCTGGTGTGCAGTAGCCCATCACACTGTTGTTATTTACCTGAAGTCTACCCCTATCTTCCATGTAGATCTTAATTAAGAGATTCGATGTACTGATAACAATGGGCCAGTGTTGTGTGCCACTGTGAATGGGGGCTGTTGTTGAGGTCCAGGTCGCATACCTGACTGTAAAGCATAGAGTACACAGTGTGTGAACATGTAAACAGATTTTTGGATGGTTTTCTTGTATGCAAAGCACTTTAATAGCTGTAGTGTAGTTGTATAAATTTATGATAAGACATCCAGAGTAGAAGGATGCTATATGATGGAATTGGGTCATTCCTCTTTATAGAAGTTTTTAGTATTAACAAAAATAGATAACTAGTAGGTTAGTCAAAGTGGAGCAAAGGAAAAAGCAACAAAATTGAATTTTGCATTTTCGCACCTGAAACTTTCTACATATTCATGACTAGTTTTGAAGTACTCAGGTAGTTGTAAAACCAGTTGTATCTGTAACTTGTATCATTGCCTCATACTGCACAACACATTTTGATGACTTGTACAACACTGCTGCAAGGTGATGTAATGGAATCCCCCAATCTGTCTTTGATCTAGGTAGCTAGATAAGATTGATAGCATTGATGTTATAGCTGGTAACAGGGAACAATGCTTTAGTGACTTGTTATCTATGCCTGGAGGTGGTTGTGAGGGATAGGGGAGAGAGAGAATACAACAACACCTTTGTAAAACTCATTGGTACACAATGAATAGATTTGTCCTAAATTTGAAAATAAAATATCGTTTACTTGTACATTTACAGTGTAGCTGTGTTAGAGCCATATATTGGATTTGCCTCAAGAGCTCAGTAGTAACATGTCTGAGCTTTAATTGTTTAAAAAGTAAGCTAATTTAGTGGAAAATGCCATCTGACACGTGATGGCTGTTGTTATTTTGGTGCAAAGTATTCAACAGCATGTGATTTATAAATGTATTAAGTTGCAGCAGTCTGCGACAGGTTTTCAGTTTTAATTTCTCATGCAAAATGATTTCACCCTTTTTGTCTCTCCAGCCCCCAACTCCCATTTGGTCTTAATTAAGAAGGCAAAAACCCTGCCAGCCGTTTAGATATTGACTGTATATTTATGTGAGGTGCTGTAAAAATTTACAGTAACCCTTTAGTAACTGAGCTTTTGGTTGTGTCATAAGATAATTATTGAGATAAATTTATACAAAATGGCAAAACAAATCAAGAGCAGGCTTGAATAATAAATGGATGTGCATTAGGATTGGTAGTGTGCTGGCATCCACGGTGGAGTTATGACATTTGTTTGTTTACTGTTTGATTAATGGAACATTAATACAAATTAGGCGTGTTGTGACTAGTGGAATGTCAACAGATGGGGCCTCCACCCTCCTGCAGTTTTCTCACAGCATTACTGGACACAGAAATAAATTTCTGAAATCTTTTTGAAGCCACATTATAGATGTGTACATAGGAAATCGTTGGGTGAATTACCATAATNTAATTGGCTTCTTTTTCTGGAAGTTATACATTTTCAAAGTGTGATCTTGAACTCCCATGGGCCTGAAGCCTTATGCTTTTTACACGTTTTACTTACATTGGTATTACCTGTTGAGCATAATTAAAATTTGATGTTGAATTTGCAGTTTAACATAATGTACTTTTGCATCAGAATTGACAGTAGCCTATTTTGTGCATAGTTATTTCCTGCTTTTTGTCTGTACATTTGACAGCTTTGCTGCCTTGTTTTATGTTTTTGAAGTAGTTAAATTTCTGTGAATATTTTCACAGTTCTACATTAGAATCATTGACAGTATTTTGACGACTTGGATTGTCATAGCTTTTAAAGTACAGAACAGTTTTCACTTAGACAAAACATATATGCATGAACCAGTAAGCCATGTCGATCAATATGAGTCTGGCCTGTAGCATATGTTCAGTATCCCTGAGGTGGATTTTTCAGCTAAAAGATGTTTCCTTCTCAAAGGAGATGTTATCAGGAAGAGGGCGTGTGACTCTTGATGATTGAGGGGGTCTGGCAGGATGAGGGGTGGGGCTGGAATGTGAACAGAATTTGACGTCCCTGTCCTGGGGGTGGGTGGGGTGGGTCTTGTGGATGTTGAAACTAGTAAAGAAAGGTTCATGATTAATATGTTAACATATTTCTGATTTTGTTATTGTGCTATTTTGTTGAAAAAAAAAAATAGATTTTTGTATGCTTGTTTTACTGAATTGTATTTACTGTTTTGAGCCTATGATAACTATATAAGTATATATTCTCTAAAGAAATCTGTTATTTTGGACATTTAGTTATACTACATTCCCAGGTATCATTAAATCCAGTCTTCTTTCAAAAGCTTTTTATCAAAATAAAAGGTTCTATTTTTAGTTAGGTGGGGGCATGGTTTACATTGTGTCAAACAGGTAAATATTCATGTTATTTTATAAGGGTGTGTCAGTAGTTGTCGTCAGTGGCATAAAAGGATTGAAAGAGGCAGACGGATAAAGTAGTCTATTTGAATGCCCCATAAATTATATTAATATTAATATTAACAGACATGTAAAACATAGATTCATAATTCACTGTTTTTCAGCGATTTGACATTCAAAATTAAGGCGTTGGGGTTACTCGACAAATGGGCCAAAAGATTTTTACTTCTCGAGGGAACAGCCGGGTCAAATTTGTTGATATTTAGGCAAAAACAAATTTGTATTGAGTTTTACCTTCATGGCATATTTTCATTGGGTAGCAAGAAATAGGGATAAAGCTACATTAACCGGAGGAACAAAGTACCGCAAGTTAGCGTTATAATATCATGTTACGGTGCCTTTGTCAAGTACATTTATTTTTAATGGTCATTACGTGGTGACATGGACCGTCATATGAAAGTAGAGTGTGCTCTGACTCATACGGAACAGATGAACAGTGTGTGTGTATATGATGTTATGACTGTCATGATGATATTACTGTGAACTCACTGTAACCTGTCTCACCTCATTGGGGGTGGGGGAGGATGGAGGTCGTAGGAAATATTGGATATTCACTTAGCAGTTAAACACAGAAAGTTTATGTAGAATTTTGTGTCAATATGCTACAATCATAATACGGGTATATAGCAAACATTTTATTTGTTATTTCATATAATATAAAGCCAGCATAAAAACTTAACAGTCCTGATTGTGCCAGTTGATGTACAGTAAGTACTTAAAATTTTGAAATACCTAACTTTTGCTAAAATTTACTCTTTGAAGATTCATCATTTTCAGATGGCTATTAAGTTCAAAACAAAGCCAAATAACTTTTCAAAAGTTTTGAAGCAGCATTTTATTGAACTACAAACAAAACATTTCAATGGTGAGAAAATTATGAATCTGTGTTGTTTGAATTTGTTGAATAATTACAGTATGATACAATCATGTATTACTCAGAATGTCTGACTCACAGCAGAGAAATCACCAGGATGACAGTCATATAATACTACAGGTGCCCTCCCTCTCAGTCATCAAACTCTCCACAATTCTTTACCCCAGCCCTCAACAGCTTATCTAAATGAGAAATAATGCACATTTTTTAATAGGGGGAGAAATGAAAGGATTAATAAATCAGTGGTGTGAGATAAGACCTTTGGCAGGAAGAGGAGGGATGGAATGTTAGCTAACTGTAAAATTTATGACATTTTTTTTATTATATTTATCAAACTGTTATAAGTTGGATCATTCATTTGATGTGTTATGAAGTGTAGATAAGTTTGGTGTAAAAAAAACAGCAGGATATTGCTTTCTCACTCCCAGTGCCCGTTTTATAAAATAACTTAACCTCAGAAACTTGTTTAAAACTTTACTTAGACCAGAAATTGATATACTTCAGCTCAGCATATGATATATATCTGTACAAATAAACATTTATAAGTAAAAAAGTCACTGGTCTGATACATAAGCCATTTCTTTTCTGTTATAAAACAAACTAAATATTTTAATTGGACTGTTGCTTTTTTATTTTGGATCAAAACAAAAACAAAAACAAAACAAAAAAAAAACTTTAAATTCTGGTCTTAATATTAAGACCATTTTTCATGCTAAAGTTCTTTAAATTTGGGCCCCGGGTTTCTTGGCTGATCTATCACTGTCTGCTGCATGCACCTGTATCTGGAGACCGGCCAGGTAACATAGCCACCTTTAACCCTCCACTAGCTCAGTGACACAAGACAGATCGTCAGTCAGTGCTCCAACACCAGCTAGGTAACTTGGTCACCTTTTGCCCTCCTCTGGCTCAGTGACACAAGATGCATCGTCAGCCAGTGCTTTCCTTGGGGGCTTTGTACTATGGTGATGGCTCTGTTAATTCAAGCAAAGTGAAGATATTTTCTCCCCTAAAGTATTTCTTTTGGTTTTCTCTGGTTTTCTCTGGTTTTGTGACAGGATTTTTTTAATTAAAAAAAATAAAAAATATATTTATTTATTTATGTATTATTATTATTTTTTTTTTGGTGAGTGACTAGAAAAGATAAATCTTTAAGTAGCAAATTACAAACAGCTAGGTCTTTGAAAATTCAGAGTGATTACTGTTGTGTCACAAGGAGTTTATTCTGGACATACTTGATGGCGTGAGCATGAATTAATATACACAAATCAATCTGCATGTTTTCATCAGTGCTGCATTCTTTATGGTCCATTTTTCTTTGTTAGGAATTTTTCTCTGCTGTTGTTTTATGTATGTCTTGTTTTGATTTTAATTTTCAATAAATCAGGTTTAGGGCTTTTCGGAGTGTAATTGTTGCTGTTTATCATCGTTTTCTCCTTTGATGTCATCAAGCAGGTGCATGTGCACATGTTGAATTTCTCTACAAGCTGGTGTGTATTTACTAGAATGGTATTTTTGTGATATGTGTTGCATTAATATGGTGACACGTGTATCCAAAGATGTTTCTGACATCAT